TGCCAAGCTCTTCTTGACTGACATATCTAGGTAGGTGTCATGGATGATAGCCTCCTGTATGCTAATAATGCCTGCTCAATTGCCGGCTGGCAACTATCCCCGCAAGCGTGCGCCACTTCATCATACAAGACAGAAAAGGTGAACGATGTGAATAACCCTCTCGTGCGTTCTTGTAATCTTGGTGTTGTATTTGGCATCGGTCGTGGTACCTGTGTGCAAGAGCGTGCCGGGGATGCCATTTCACCCGACTCCAAGCAACACCCGGTACCATGAAAATTGACTGAAGCTCATTTCGAGAAAAGAATGCGTCCCAAATTCTACCTTTTATCACTCCATAGTACGCGCCAGGCCCCTTTTTTGTGACAGACATTAAGGAAGGCTTGTCTGGTCCCCCTTCGTTCTTTCTGTTGAGGCTTCACTCAAAGTCCAGCTTGGCTTGTGCCTCTCTGGTGGCAAAGCTGGATCAGCTCATATACCCTTCCAAGCCCTCTTTTGGTGCTGCTTCACAGGTTTTCAGTGTTTACCTACCCCCATCTTTCTCGCGCAGTTCGAGGTATATACCTAGTGAGGGGCGCCTGACAAGAGGCACAGGGCGCCATTACGAAAAATGAGCCCCGGCACAGCTAACACTTTCCAAACTGCTAAGGTGTTTTCGTAGTGGTTGTTACACCAGAGGACCCTGGCCGTTGCAATTCTTCTTCACCTTCCGATATTTGTAGCAAAATCGAAGCATGCACTACCCTTCAGCATTTTAGCACCTCTTATTGGTATCATTGTCGCGTTTGCAATGCTCTGTTTGTTCGTAGTTGGGATGGTGATATCACAACATCTTACTTGTCACTCACAGTGCTTGCTGTAACTTCGCGGAGCATGACCACATTCAAACTGCATACAACTGACAGTGTAGTGGAATTATAAAAATATGCAGCTACCATTTCTGCTTACGTCGAGCAGCTCACCATGATGCGACATCGGGACGTGCCGTAGCACAGTGTAATAGGACACCAGCTACGATTGATGTGGGAATCATCGTACAATGCCTGTCTTTATTGTGCATGTGTTTCCCGTTTGCTTTGACAACTGATGCAATGAAAAGTGTTTTTGTCGGAGGCTATCAAGTTGACAAATTACGACTGCCTGAGCATTCAGCTAATTGGTGATTTCACCTGGCTACTCGTTTCAATGGAATGCCTAGTCTTGATTCTGTTCGTCCATAATCTATTCATTGGCTGGTTGCTTGCAAAGTTACTTTTACGGTATATCTAAGGAAGCCACAAGAAAAGGATTGGCTCCACTAACCTTGAAAATTATTTTTCTTGAGACCTCGACCTTGAGACCTTGAGAACTCAGCTTCGCTTGTATCGAGAACGAATGCTGCGTCAGAATTCGACAAGGACACTGATGAAATTGCATACTTCCTGTCCAAGAAAAGGTGACCGCCAATATTGCTTCACAGGATCATGAAAACGTCTATTACCGAAAAAGAGTTCTTAATTTCAATAAATTTCATCCGAAATTGCTTGGTGGTCTGACAGCACTTAGAACGTCGCCATTTAAATGTTAGCAAGCGTTGTCGGTACTGAAGCAGAGTGGAGGCATTAAAGACAACCGTACGCGCAGTATGCTACGGCGCGGCAGCTGTGTTTTTTGTCTTCCAACCATGGAATGTGAACGAACAGTTTAAACAACCTACCGCAACTGCCTCACGAAACTCTCGAAGCCTGTGCACAGGCTGGCGACAACCCGCAGTGTGTAAGCTTCCACAGCGAAGCCGTAGGACTTGCTCCGCTGCTTCGCCGCGGTTGTCGCCAGCGTGCACAGGCCTCCGAGAGTTGCGTCACACAGTTGCGGTAGGTTGTTTGAACTGTTCGTCCACATTCCATGGTCGGAAGGCAGAAAACACAGCTGCTGCGCCATCACTCACTGCACGTACGGCTCTCTCCGATGCCTCCACCGTGCTTCGGTACCGACGACGCTTGCCAACATTAAAATAGCGACGCTCTCAGTGTTGTCAGAGCCGCCTCGGTGGCTCCGAGGCGAGAGCGCCGGCCTACGGATCCCCAAGTGACGGGTTCGAATCCCGACCGAGGTGCCCGCAATATGGCGGAGGCTTATTGCGGGGAAGGCGCTGTGTAACCAAGCTTTTGGTTGCACGTCAAATGATCCCCAGGTGGTCGAAATTAATCCTTAGTCCTCCGCTGGGGCGTTCCAGATGCCCGTCGTAGGTTTGGCACGTAAAACCCCCAAATTTGACTTTTTTTTCTAAGTGTTGTCAGATCACCAAGCAAGTTTGCATAGGTATGTTGAGCCTAATTCACTGGTCGCCATCTTTTGTTCTTAAATAGCATGTATTGAAAGCTTTTGGCACAGTGAATCCTACGAGGCTGGACGCAATAGTAGCCGGAATGAATTTCTTAATATCGGGCGGTTTTCAGTACCAACTTCCGCAACTTGCAGCGCTTAGCAGCACCCCTTCCTGGTGAGTTTGCCGACCGGCATTGTGTGCTATAAATATTTTCCCAAACGCTTCAAAATCATTACTCGTAATTTCTTTTTTGCAATGTTTGATATGAAGGAACAGAATGCGGCTGTAAAAGTTCATTTTCTTTTAGGAAAAACGGCGCCGGAAACTCTTGTAATGCTTCAGAGAGCTTACAAAGAAAATGCTAATAAGAAATTACAAGTCTACGAGTGGTTTTCTCACTTTAAGGCCGGTGATCCTCAGCAGACGACGCCGGTCGGCAAATCGTCTCAGGAAGGGTGCCGCCTAGCGCTGCTAGAGACGAAAGTATTCCTGTAATGGTACTCCTGTAATTCATTCCAGTCACTTCTGGGTACTCCCTCATACCTTTTATAGTTGAAAATTTGGTTGTGTGGCCCAGTATCTTTTTTAGTGTATATCATATCCCTTTTCGTATTATACAAATTTTCAGATTTTATTTTATCCTGGTGAAATGACTCCAGCGTGGCATGTTTTGATTATTTAATATGTTTGTAATGCATACATGACCTTGTTTTTTTGGCTAAATGTTCCCTGTTTTTATGTAAGTTTATTGGCTTTTTCACATTGAACGGTGCCAATAAGAAGGTGGCAACGTTGTTTCTGGCTTCGTAAAGTATAATTTTTGTAATTATTATAGTTTGATAGTCCAGAGCTGGAAAAAAGACTCCTTTTCACATATTTATTTCCAGACTGTTTCAAAAGAACCTACAAGGTTCTTTTAAAAGGTTTAATTATTTTTTCAAAGGAAAATATTTTCAACGTAAAATTCTATATCAGGTTCGGAAAATAAAAGCATACAAACAAGTGCCACCTGAACACTTCGTTTCCATTATAGTCACTTACTATCTTGTCACGAATGAACAGGCGAGGAAACAAAGAATAACTGGGGAAACTGAAAAGTCTAATGGGGCGAACTTCTGCCTAAAAATCAAAAAGAAACAGAAGACCACAGCAGAGCGTCGCAGGTGTCGAGGTCGGCGTAACAGCAGATACGAACGCTGGGGCGAGGATGCTTGCGGCTCGGCACGCCCTTATTACACGCCTGGGCTCCTCGAACAATCGGCGTAGAAGGTTCGGCGCGTAGAACATTCGGACCTCGAACAAGCAACAGGATTCTAGAATTTACTAGAACACTAAATTGCAAGAATGAATAAAAGACACGTCGCTCCCAGGAATCGAACCCTGGCTCTCCGCATGGGTGGCAAGCACGACAACTGTTAGGCCACGACCGCGCTGCCTACTTGGCCAGCTGCGCGCGCGGAAATATATCCAGTATAGTTTTGATTGTAATGCCCTAATGTTTTGAGCTGAATACGCTGCTTTTATAAAGTGTGTCCATGCTTGGAAAGTGCCAATCTTTTCTTGTCAACAGAAAACTAAAAGATTTAAAATAATTTGATAGGGCTGCATATGTTCTCTAAAAGCAGTACATAAAATATAAAAATAAATAAAAAAAAACTTTCAGCCTTTGCATTTTGGTGACGAAGGAAGACTAGCGAAGCAAGTTTTCCTTAGAAGTAACGCGAGTAATGTTTGAGTTTGAAAACAAGTCTTTCAAGCAGACTACATGGAGAACTCTCCTTTCGTCGCGTCGCTTGGCGGGATGTCGGCGAGGCCAGGGAAGCCGGGAAAATCCGAATTCCCTGTCCTCCAAGACCGGAAAGAAGGGTTTCGACGACGTCGAAATCTCTTGAAAGTGTCAATCGTAAGCCTATCGCTTTAAAACGCAATATAATAACTTTCCACCGCAGGCAATGTGTATCCAACGTTACACCAATTCCGCCACGTTTTTCCACAGGGCGGGCTGATAGCGTTGTGAGCGACACCGCGCGGACGAACCACGAAATGGCGCCACGCGTTCTGAGAAACTCGACATCTGAATGTTATCTAGTAACGTAGCTCAAGCACAGCTGCTGAGCGTCGCCATGTTGAAAATAAGAAGGCAAAAAGCCAGGATATGGCCGATGCCTCGTCACTAACACTTCCTGGCTCCCAGTCTTTATAGTATTACAATTGTCGTTAAACATATTGTGTTGTTAATAATTGTTACAGGCATTCAACTCGCAACGTCTGTGTATTTGTTTTTTAAATGCCTTCGTTGATTGCGTTATTAAAAAAGTGAGAAACGCCCGATGAGGACACGGATATTTAACCGGCTGTTTTGCACACTGGGCGTATTATTTTCGAAATGAAAATCTTTCACGGCGTTATCTCGAGTTTTTGAGGCGTTTGAGACCATAGAAAAGTAATAATGTTGGGGTTGTTCGTGGCTCTTTAAGGCGAAACGAAGTACAAGACTAGGTTTTCGTTCTAGCTTTGTAAGTAAAAAAAAAAAAAGCGCTTTTTCTGTCTTTTTTTACATCGTTAGTGAGGTTAGCACATACTGTGGCGAATCGCGATTCGCCGGCCGCTTTTCTTGCAGGTTCTTGCAGAGTCCCGATTTTTGCAACATCGATAACCAAGGTGCAAGGTTTGCTCCACGCTCTTTTGTTTGCAGCTGGCGGCCGAGCAGTAAGCTGTGCCCAGTTAAAGAGACTTGGATATAACAAGACAAAGGAATATTATATCGAACCTCACAATCGCGTCCTCGTGCTGTGTGACATGGAGACTGATGGCGGTGGATGGACAGTAAGTCTCACCACCTTATTTGGCCTACTAACAATCACTGCAAAGGCAAAGCGACATTTTGTTCGTCTTTTTTTAGAAAAAAAAGGTTATTAGGAGAAGCAGTGCAGCGATTTCGACATCGCAAGGAGCTGTAGCGAGATATTATTATTTCGTTTTATCTTAGCAAAAGTAAAACAAGGCATGTACCTACACCCTAGAATATTATCTGGATTTCACCGTGCAATCGCAAAGCAAAAGTACTGAGTACTTTACAACCCACAGCTGCAATGGTGACCATGGGAATCCCCTCACGAGGTGGTTAACACGGTTACAACGAATGATCAGTCTGTTTTCAATTATCTGCTGAGTTTAATTAAGCTTGTCTTCATTTTGTTTGTAGTCCCAACCGAATTTGGGGTTATGTTAGATACAGTGCCATCCAGGCAGTAGATTGGAAGTCATTACTTCGAAGACTGATAGGTCGCCTCTCTGACTCTTTAGGGTTTAGAACATTTTTTGCTATAGCTTTATGTAGAAAAGCACGACGTACACTTGCCATCTAGTACACCCCCACGTTGTGATACTTCAATCGTATGTCAGTTCTTGATTTGACAGACGATGCAGTCTCGGCAATGAAATATATTGCTCGGAGAATGCGTTGCGGGCAAGATTGGGATCTCGCCTTTATAGTTAAAGGGTGCTCTTATATATTGTCTCCTGTGTTGCAGCCTATTTTTTTTTTAATACATTTAGATTTGTTTCGGCGCAAAAACATGATGTGGCTGTTCCAATTCATAAATTCGGGAGCACTATGTCCAACCACGATACAGAAACTAAGGCCCAAAATGCAGATACTGATATACATTTGTATTTTATGCAACGGGTTATTCCTGAGATACTTCTGCAAAACGGCTAAAAAGTATTCCGGAATATAGATACGGAAACTCATAGAAATACAGTGGCTCCCGAACGGTGCTACGTGTTGAGGGTGTCGTTCGTGGCGAATTCAAATCGTAATGTTTGTTTGTTTGTTTGTTTGTTTGTTTATTTTATTTTTGACACTTCCCCTTGCCTCGAACTCTTTATTTATAATTAATGCCGCTAAAAAAAAAAATAAACGTGTAATTCCGGTGAATCACATGTTACTGAACGGTAAAGAGGCTTTGCCTTGCTTGAAAAAAGGCGTCTGCACCAAATGTGTATAAACCCTATTTTGCCATGAGGGCGCATATCAAACTGTCGTCTAAGAGGCTTCTGAGTCACCCATAATGTGGGGATATTAGACAACAGAGCCGTACCTTTTCTACACTCAACTGCTTTACAGCGTTTGCTCTACTAAATTGGAAAAAAAAAAGAGGAGGGCTTTGTGAGAGGAGCTTATTGTGTAATTCTTGCAAGTAACCTTCTTTAAACAAGCTTTCCTTAATGTTGTTGACTGGGATGAATCATGTAATGGGGCGGGTTCATGTTATACATTCTGAAGCAGCTTCCACCGAACATGTTTTTATCTTTTAAATGTATCGTAAGAAACGGCAACAGGTATAACGAGATACCCAAGTCTGGCAAAGTATCGCGATAGAAGCGACATACGGTAAATGTATTTCACTACTGAGATACGAATGCATTTTTTTAAATGTATCTCGATATAGAGATACGGATACTCGATAGCATCTCGAAGATACTATGGCGATACATTTGTATCACGATGCCGCCCAGCCCTGTATTGTACCCTCTATTTCTGAGGGCGCGAAGTGGCCGGGCTTTAGCCGTCTCCGTTTAACACCGCAATGTCGAAAACGAGAAGACTGAGTGACTGCGTTCGTCACGCAGTCACGTGCGGGCGAACCCGGCTTGGGAAATAAATGCAGTTGGTGAAAAGCTCCTCTTATGTTTTCATTTGCCGCAGCTCCCACTCGGAAAGCAGAGACTTGTTTAGCTGTGTGCGAAGCGGTTGACTGCGGTTGACCAAGGCTCGCTTTCGAGTGTTCTTTCTCGCCAACAGTGGTCTGTCTTTAAAAAAGTAAGAATGCTAGGGCATTAATCGTCACGACAAAGTATATCTTTTTGCTTGTCAGGGAAAGATCAAAAAGCTTTCTGCATGCGGTGAAAATCCAAAACATAGAAGCCAGAAGAAAGTAGAAGCCTCCTGCCGCTTTTGACTTTTTAATATAACATGGATGTGAAGATTGCTCGTTGGATATGGTTCCGAATTTTGCTGATGCGGCTCGAATCCGGATACAAAGACTACGAATTCAGATTGGATTCAGATGATCCAACTATCTGCGCAGGGCTCTAGTGATGTCTAAGTGTCATGTCAAATTGTGTGGTAAAGAAAAAAAAAAAAACATGCATTTGGAAGTGTCATTGCCGCTTTAGGGAAAGTTAAGAAAAGCGGAGAGAAGAGCATCGTATACGGAAATGACATGCAAAATAAGTCTTGCCGTAAAACACACACACCAGTAAAACATCCTGCGAGCACCAATGCATTGACCTCCACAGTCCGATGTTTCTAGCCTGCACACGATCCTAAGACTCCGTATACGTATACATGCCAAATCTTCAGAGGCGTAAGAGCCCTCTGAGGGATTCAGGAAGGAGGAGGGGGGAGAGGGGGCGTTTTTTGAATGCGAAAGCATTAACTGTCTCATGGAGCGAGGCGGCGTTATCATTTTAAAGCCGGAAACGGCACCTTAAATCCTTTCTCGAAGTGCAGCCAGCTCCCAGCTATGAAACCACGCGAAAAGCCTAGACACAGCACCTAGTTTCCCCGATCCCAAAGAAGCGAAGTTGATGAATCTTCGGCTTCGGTTTCATTGGCTGGCGTGCGTCGACGAGGCTCCCAATGGCCGATGTGCGTTAGTTTGAACGATTGCTCACCCGATGTCGCTGCGTGTCCGCGAGGCAGCGGATCCACCGTTCCACGCCCAGGGTCAGCGCGCCGCACGCCGCAGACGAAAGAAGGGAGCTGAAGAATGACGTTCATGCTTTCGCATTCCAAACTCATAAGAAGTGCTTAGGTGTACCTCGAGCCTTTTGTTTTAGTGTGTATTTGTGTGTGTGTATGGGTGGGGTAACGAGATAAGAACACTCACGGGCACGGAATTAGTCAAAGAAACAAAAATACATTAAAGCAAAGGCGCTGAGAATAATTGAATTGAGTCATAAGCGCGTGGGCCGAATCATGAATCTTGATAATTAAACTTGAGGAAGAAAACGAGAACGTCCTTTCTCGTTCTCTTCCTCAACTTTAGTTATCCTATACCAACCCGCTCGTTCTGTCCTTACATGAATCTTGAGTTGCTTCGACCAGCGGTGTTTATTGTCTCGTGCTATGGCGCTTGGGAACATATGCATGCGTCAAGATGGGCTCCCCCGACTCCAAGACCGTTCTTGCCAGATGGCTTCAGCGTGTCTGCGTGCTTCCCCAAACCGCATATGAGAAAAGCGGGCACTTTGAGGCGTAAATCTCAAGATTACATTCTGGGGAAGCATAATTAAAGAATCCGGAAGCAAGCTTCAATTCGCGCTGACTCTTCAATCGACTTCCAGGTGATTCAACGTCGAGCTAAAACCGAAGGTGAGGGCACCGAATTTGAGAGATCCCAAAAAGACTACGATGATGGATTTCGAAATTTAAAGAGTTTATCATATTGGATAGGTAAGTACGAAATATTAGCCTCTGTGCATGTGCCATTTTGACGTGGCAACCAAAAACTGATAAAAAAAAATTCCTAGAATTCCGCCAAACACAGTGAACGGAAACTAGGTTCTGGTGACAAGTTGTCAGGTACCACCGTGGCGCCACGTCATGTGGTGACGTAACGCGAATTGGTTAACATGCAACGTCCGTCAAGTCAGATCTGTCGGTAAGGATACATATCTCACCGACAGAAATAGGTTCAGTCAGAAAACGTTTTTTTCCGCTAAACAGAAAGCAGCAGCAAAGGCAATATTTAATTTTAGTTAAGGCGTAAGATAAAACCAATAAATAAAAATAATGTTAGCTGTCTGAAACGACTTGTGATGTAGCCTAAAAGTGCTTAATTACGTGATTTATGATTGGATATGGTACTCGCCAATGAAAACAAGCGCTGACAAATAATTTCATTTGACGAGCATTCCATCCCAAATATCAGTACAAACAATATAGGCCCTTTTCGAAAATCAGTACGGCCACTTGGATATATCCTCTGTCATAGCCTCCTCTATACTGACAAAGCCTGGCAGATCGTCACGTGACGTTGACGCGGCCGCCGAAAGTGAAAAGGTAGAGCGGCAGACAACAGCCATGTTATGGGCGCCCCGCTGCGGCGGGACGCCGAAACACACTTGTCCCGAGCGATGGAATGTCCGCTCGTGCTTCTCGCGTTCCTCGGGCTGCCGTTTCGTTTCTCGTCGGGTTTGAAAACCCTGTTTCGGGTCCTCGCCGCTGCAAAAGCTGTGCGCTGAACCCTAGACTCCCCGAGAAATGCTCTGTGCTACCAGATCCTCGCGCTCCAAATCTGCGACCAGGCCCATGCAGCAATTTTGGCCCTACAGAGCGGCGCGATTTCTGCCGTCACGACGGTTCCACCAGGTTGGAAACTTTTTCGCCGCGGCAGAGCGGCAGCTTCCGCGCTGGCCACTCACAGAGTGATGGGAAATCACGTGACAGCAGGAGAAACATTTCGGGAAAGCTGGCGCATAGGACGGCGGCGTTTTCACGTCCTTGAAGCAGACGACAAGCAGAGAAAGTACGCAAGCGACTGGTTCGCGGTTTCTTTATTCCGGCGGGTCGACGTTTTTTGCTTCAGCAGTCGCGTCGGAACTGTTCAGGAGATTATGGAGGAGGGGAACTGCTGTCTTCTTCCTCGGAATTTGTTTTCTCAATGAATTATGCGGCTTTGTTTTATTTTCCTCGACTGACTACCAACTGTAGCGCCGCAAGAGAGCAATTCGGAAGCGGCTTTTGCGAGCACTAGTCAGAAAAACAGAAGAAGAAGTGGAAGAACTGAGCGATACTGACGTGTCTTTTCCAACACAGATCGTCACACAAAGTAGGACAAAACGTATCGCGCCCAGTTCAATGAACTGCTTATCAGTAGAGTGTCGAAGCGTCGGGTTCTTTGAAACGCGTAGCTCAAAGAATTAAAGAACAATGGGACCAAAGGTACTCTTCCAGTCTCCGTAGACAGACATACTCAGGATCGTGAGCACATACCCCCATTTCAGAAATACCAACTGCTCCAACGCCGTCAAGAAAGTTCGGGTCGGCCATATGTATGAGTTGGAATCCTCACATCCGAGGAAGGCGCTGCCTGTGACGTCCGTGACGCTGCCGAGGATGATTCGAGATTTCATCCTCCGCAACAACAAAGTTTGAAAAAAACAAAAACAGTAGAAAAACATAAACGGATAAAACCAAGGTTTATTTAGGATGTTAAATGCTTTTTTTGTTTTGTTTTATTAAGGTGAAATCAAAGGGGAAGCTAAAAAAAGTGAAAGCCGTTTACAACTCCCTGTAACGCCGAATTGGAGCGCAGCTCTTGAGGAGGAGAAGGGAAGGGTACTGAAGGCAGGGTAGACCTTTCCTCCTCTTTCTCCTCCCCTCATTCTTTAATATGCTCCGGGGGGCGTCACCTGATCTCGGGGGGAGGGGGTCACGTGACCTAGGGGGGGGGGGGGGTGTCGCGTGACTTGGGGGAGGGGGGTCACGTGACCTCGGGAGGGGGGCCACGTGACCTCGGGGGGTTACGTGACCTTGGGGGGTCACGTGGGGGTCATCTTGGGGGTCACATAACCTTGAGGTGACCTTAAAAGGGGTCACGTGACCTTGGGGTGACCTAGATTACGCCGACGGCGACGGCGACGCCGCTCAAGCCGGAAACGGGCGCCTAAGAGCTGCGCTCTAAAACTAAGGCATCAAAATTGTTGTTAGAAGCCGCTGTAACCGACTGTGCGCATCTGCTTGGTACGAGGAACATTGGCTATCGCAACGGTAGAAAACGCTCGTGCGAAATGAAACCTCGCGATCCGTGCCGCCCCGCCGCTAACGGCAGCGATTTCGGCCGCGGAATCGCTGCATGTGAAACCCGCTTAACACCGGACAACTTCGTTGAGCTCAATGACAGCTGGGAGGCGCCAGCGATCGTTGGTTTAATGACAATTACGTGTGCTAGTGTAACTTTAGTTATACCGGTAACTGATTTAGTGGCTCTAACTCCAAGCTTAAACCGTCCTCGGTAAGCACCACCATGGAACTTGAAATTCGTAAGCGATGATTCGTGCCGTCACGGCACTCATTGGCCACGAACGCGAATTCAAATATTCGTTGACGGATTGATTGTTGACGATCGCATACATCCGAGTGACGCAATGCTCGTGTACAATGCGTGAGCTGGGACAGTCTGACGTACTTTCAGTACTTCGGATGTATCAAAGTGAAAAGGCGGAAAGCTTTCGAAGGAAAAAAAATACAAAATAGGCCGCTTTTTTTTTTTTTTTTTCGTACTGAAAATCAGATTTTTGGCTTTCTAACCTCTTTTTATTTTTTGCCCACTAAACAACATGCGTTTAGCAAGATTCCAATCTGAATGTTTTTATCCCAGCCCAAAATTCATTTAATGGTCCTTTAAAGGAGCCATCACACGAGTTTTCGATTTTCGCTAAATACTGCTTAGAGTCACTCCCTAACATTACTAACTGCATAAGCTTTCGTTATTTTTTCTTTCTTGGCAATGGCAGCCGCCAAAAATATTCGAGAAATATGAGTATCGTCCACGGCCTAAACTCGGAGCCAGAACAAGCGGCTGCGGCGTGGTGCCTATTCAACATACCGGCATCTTTAATCATAGCCATGCACTGGGGTTGGCTAGAGCCATTAAATGAGCTCCGCTTACAGTATCGGCACTCCGTTCCCCGACATCGTTGTGGGCGCCACCATTTTCGTGCTTGTGCAGAGCAGACGCAACTGCCGATCGTCGTGATTTAAAAGTGCGACTTCCTCAGCATTGGATTAAGTGTTAAGAAGCTCATGTAATATTGCTATGCTTTGCCGAAAACTGTTTAAACATCTGTGGAGAACGAAAAAGCGTTTCCTGCGGTTTCAGATAAAGCTTCTGAAAACTGGCAACCATGATTTGAAGCCACAATATGGCCAAGTATCGTAACTCTGAAGCGTAGCGTATTCAGTAGCACTAGGGTTGGCAAATCAGAGAACGCGCGCTAAGCTCCGGGCATTGTTAGAGTTCGGCTATTCTGATCACCGTAGTTGTCGGACACGAGCCACAACATGAATGTCCGCCTAGGTATTAATTGTTACGAGCTGAAGTCGACTCATCACGCAGTTCTCGTGTTCCATCCATGAGCCGCGCTCGACTGTCGCCAGGCGGGTGGTTTCGATACCATAATTACGCACTCAAGATTTGCGAAGGCAAGACTGAAAGAAATAGTCCCCTTTTGTCCTCGCAATTTCACCGCGACAAAGCTGCTGAATGCGAGGCGGTATGTGCGAGTGTACTTGGGCCAAGTCATGAACATTCAAACCTGGTAATGTTTCGTGACCCCTTTAAGAATTAACCCAGCTAAAAGTGCTCGCTTTAATACCTGGAAAGCATCTTTGTGTGCAGTGCAACAGACCTTCTTGGGCTATTTCTTCCTAGTCAGCTCGATCAGAAGCAAAGCCTTCTCCGCATAATTCGAAAAGAACTGCCGGTAATAACCAGTCATCCCAAAAACGACCCCACTCGCTTCTTCGTTGTAGGACGCTTCAATTCCACAATGTTACTTAAAGTATTCTATCGTGCTCTATTCCTAACGCATTTCTATTCCTAGTGTGCACTCTTCCTAAACGAATTTCGCTCCTTCTATTAAAGGGAACGAAAACATCCATGTACTCACTACCCATCCAAATAGCAAACAAGTTCTCAGGATCGAAATGACAAGAAATACGCAAGAAAAGATTGTCGTGCTGTATACAACCTTTCAAGTCGGTTCCAAGGAGGAGTACTACGAGCTGACCATCGGCGGCTACTCGAGCCCTAATGGTAAATACCGGTGCTTTCGCCATCCCTCTTGCGTCGCCTGCAGCGCTGCGTTAGTCGGTGGTTGCTAAAACTTTTGGAAGACGCTGTTTATGAGGTTAAAGATAAACTCTGGAGAGAACAACCTTACATTAGCGTGTGACGACAAGTACTGTACAGGCTTTGTTTGGATCGATGGTTTAAACTTTAATAACTCTAGTATGAACCACGCTTGTCACAACGCAGGATTAAAGGAAAGAGGAAAGGGGGGGGGGGGGGGCAGTGGGGGGCTAGAGAAGGTGCAACCGAGGGCTCAATATACGAGAGTTGGGGAGAGAGGCCCCATTATTAGTACGTGTTTAAATGCAACCCGAGATATTGAAACGAGGAGCCAGGGCTTTCGTTTAATGAAACTTCGTTTAGTTCAATTCACATTGCGAGGGCTCCCTAGGGACTTGTCACCTCTCTGCGTTTGCCGATGAGTTGTCAATGAGCCTTTTTTTATTTCTTCTTAATAGCTGTAGGCTAATGGCGACGGGAAAAACGTTCTAAACAATTTATTTGGTGAATGACAGCAAAGGAGCAGAAGAGGTGTCTTTAGCACGCTGGCCGCCCAATCTGTGCAACGCTCGAAAAGGACGACTTTGGTACATGCAAGATGGCCGTCCGGTGCCTGCATTTTCGGAACGGGGAAGCGCGATCCAGCAATTGTGAAATTTATCAGCGGATCCTGATTCCGTGATGCGCTGTCACGTGCCTCGCTCCGTCTCTCTTATCGACCCACCAGCCCTGTAGAATCGAGCGTTTGCCAGGTTAAGCTGAAATGAAGCCTAGCAAAGGAAGCATGCCGCCGGTGCCTCCGTCCACAGCGGCGCCGTCTCCGCCGACGCACCGTCTGGAACACGGACTCGCCGCCTGCTCCGCGCGCCGACGCTTTCGTTTTCGCTTCCCCACCCCTTCCCCAGCTGCTTTCGCGGAGGAAGTAAGCAAAGTGCAGACGGTGAGCTGTCTGCAAATGCCGATGGCATCCGGGGGATCATCGTTCACGTTCCGCTATATTATTGTTGAAAAATAAAATGTTAAACGTCGGTCGCCGGTTGAGACAGCGGTCACCGGTTGAGACATTACGGTTACAGTTACGGTTACGGTTACCAAAAAAAAAATCTACTCTAAGCGGTTTTCGGTTTGGGTTACGGTTTCGGTTTGTCCCTGACTTTAAGAACACGGATCAGCTGCCTTCATGTTTGGGTAATGGAACAGACTCTCCCACTGCACGAAGTAGGCTCCGTGCTTGTCCGAAGTCACCAGCTTAGCGGCCGGATATTACTGCCAGGTTTTAGGATGAATGCATTGAAAATGGTCAATGTATGTTCAGAAACGAATAAAAAGTTTCCGCCTCCAGAAAGACAGCACAAAGGTCAGAAGCGCTATAAGCCACCTCATCTTTTCGCTCTAAGGGCTGTAAACGAGGGAGCGTATAAGAGCGGTACCAGTTAATATATTCAAAGTCCAAAGCTGCCGTTTACCGATTTGTCGAACAGCACACTGTTTATAAACCAGCACGCGCTGGCTTGTACCGGGTGTGGGCATCGCGCGTGCGCAGAAACCAGATTCGCGTGACGGGAAGCATCTGCGCATGCGCAGTGCCGACGGCAGCGCCACCGCAGTGGCGTGACGTCAGAGACATGATTTGGTCTGTACGCAATCTATTCTCGATTCAGAGCATCCCGAGATCCTTCAGCACACACTAACTTTCTCCTTGCACATGATGAGATGAAAAGATCTGCACACGTGAAAACACTGTGGAACACCGGAACTTGGGCCGCATAGCCAGACTGTTCCAACTCTCGATGCAATTTTTGTTCGCATTTTCCTAGAATAAGGATATATACCAGTAGTATATGGGAAACTGTTAGGATAATCAATCAATCAATCAATCAATCAATCAAACAATCCATTTTATTTACATCATCATCAGATAGTGATGTGAAACGTAACTAAAATGTGCTGACTAGCTTTTTATTTAGTGAAAATAAGCCTGTTTTCAATTAGAAACATAGTAATGGCATATGTAAACGTTTTTCATCCGCGTCTTCGGACCACCCAGCCTTGCCCCTCTTTGCACGAGTGGTAACTAGCGCATCCCACCGATTCCCACGTGCTTAAAGTATTTATAAAATCTACTGATTTGATGGCTGTTTATGACACTCAGCGAGCTACTGATTGAAGTCAAATGTATATGTTTTACTAATTAAAAAGATAAGGAACAAATATGATTTAATTTCCCGGATTATCGCGACAATTAGCCAACTTTATGTGTCACTCTGGCCGTTTAACTCACCTTGTAGATAACGGAGTAGTGCAGCTTTCGCAGCTTTCTTTAAAAAAAATGTATAAAACCTATAGGCTTGAACAGCCTGTAAATTACTGTTAAGAGTGGTCAGCGCCATTGATTCACCCACACTATTTTTCCGCAGGTTCAGATTACGATGCGCTGAAGCACCACAACGGAGGCGGGTTTGTAATCGCCAGGGGAGACTATCACCAGGACCTTTGCGCCCGATCACCGATAAGTGGTGGCTGGTGGTTCCCAATTTATAGCTGCATGCACTCAAATCTTAATGGGCGTAAAGTAAAAAAAGTTCCACCTCGTACGAGGGGCTTTGCTATTACCTGGTACAAACAACGCGATCCGAGATCCTACGAATATGTCTACGAAAGTGTGGAGATGAAGATCAGGGATGCCGATTATGGATTTTGCACGGGCGAAATGGCAAAATAAATTCTTTGATACCTGATGTATATTAGTGCGAAACTAAATTCGAGAAGAACTGCTCAGTAACTCTACCCCGTCATTTTCAGGTTTCTGAAATTTATCTGAAAAAGAAAAGAAATTGGGAATAAAACGCAAATGTTTGGATACAACAGGCTTGCCTGACACTCCCGACACTTGCTAAGATTCAACCCAAGATTAATTGAATGTGCACCAATATAGAAGACGTGTTCAATGCCAGATGAGCCTCGAGAAAAATTTCCCAGGTGTCGTACAACAGACTTGTTTGTAGGGCGGCATTCGGAGTTGTTTATCCCTGTAAGGCGGCGATCTGCGATCTGACCGACGCTGCACTTTGAATGTAAACCACACAGTAGTGAGGCCCTATTTGGTGTTTATTACGTGGGTATTTGAAATATATAGCAGTATATTTTACTTTAAATAACGTTTGGTGACTTTGTTGTAGATGGGGTTGACAAACCGTGTATTTCAATAGCATCACGCAGTGGTAAAACGCTATTTGACATTACTTGACATGAGCGTTTACATAAATAGAAGAGGATGTACCTTAAAAACGCAAAAGTATGTTTGATCCAGGGGGGTCGTCTGGAGAAAGCGATACAACTAAACACCTAAGGTCTTTAACTTGTAATAGGCAGAAGTGGAGCGCAATGTTCCGTTTGCTTATATGATACTTAAATCTTAAGACTGGTTGACGCACATGCGACTGCTTACGATCGAGTGCATTACAACACCCTGTAATAGATGATGACGAGGGAACACACTGACACCTTAGCGCCATGTATGAGGTAACCCCGTACTGCCTTTTACTAGAGCGACGGTTACGGGGTCTAATGTACATTTTATCTATAAAGAAATGGTTGCCTAAGACAATGCCAAACATTTTCAAGCCAATATTAAAATAATGATGCGCAATTTTTTTAACGGAAATTGCGAATGTTTCACGGCTACCCGATTGATGGCGCCAGTGCTTTATCTTGTCGTCAGGTATCGCAAGAGGTCGTACCGCACTCGGTCGTAAGCAAGTGTATGAACGAGCCTTTAAACACGGGAGGATTGTCCTAATATGACGTCTGGTGTCTCCGCTTCAGATAAAATTCCTCACTAATGCAGTATGACGGCCAATACCTTTCATTACATAGAATACTGGAGAGCAAGTGTATTTCACGAAGCCTTCACCAGCAGCAAGTTGCCCCTATAACGGCGTCTGGAGTCTTTCCTGTACACGGTTCGCACGTGACGTCGCGGCGCCGTGCTGGTTGTCATTCCTACTTGCAGGCTTTCCTGCTGACCTACTTCGCTCCACCCTTGAGAGGTTCATTATCAAACCACAACTTCCGCAAGTTGTTTTAAAAAAGAAAGGTCGTTTCGCTGTGATTCCCTACATGCACAATTCCGCGCACCGTCTAAGGTCTATTGCGTCCAAGTTCGACACGAGTGTGGTTTTTTCTTGTCGTATGCGCCTCAAACAGATGTGCAAAAAGGTTAATGGGAGCGACAGTCCCCGAGGGTGCAATGTAAAACACGCAAAAAAGTTCGTAGAATGCGAAGAAAGGAAGGTGTATTCGATTCCACTAAGTTGTGGCAGTCAGTACATTGGACAGACTGGGAGATGCGTCAACCACCGACTCAGAGAACATAACTTGGAAGCATCAAAGGCTTCAACTGAGTCGTATCACCCCATTGTCGTTCACAGCCGCACATGCGATGACTGTACTCCTCATTTTTCTAATACTAAGATACTGGGAGGGCACAACAACAGATTTGGGAGAGAAATCATCGAGTCATTTGCCATGGGGACTGTTAACAACAACATTTCTGCACCGTCATTATCATTGACAAAGACAGAGGTCGAATTCTTAACACCAGAGATAACTAGAATATTGACACCTCGTCGTGACGCTACAGATTTTTAAACTCTTATATTTATAGTACAATTCTTTTTGGACTGCAAACAAGAATAATTCTGCATTATCACTGACAATGACCAAGGTTAATTCTAACTAATCGAAAATAACTTGATTACTGATGCGCTTTTCAAACTTTTCTTTTAGTGTATTCCCTTTCCTTTATAACTAGTATCTCCTTTCCCTCTTTGAGAACGCTGAGACCCTTGGGGGCGGTTTTTATCGTTGTGCCATTCTATGTTGTTGCTAAATGAAAGATGTCCTGTTCTCGTCCTCGTCCTCTCTGTTTTATACTTTCAAGTTTTGTATCTACTTGCTCATGCCTCGAAAATTTATAGCAAATGGCCATGCGATTGTTTCACCTACGTGAAACGTTCTAACATCAGAAACGTTTAGCGATACTTTGAGTTTCCAGACGCCAGGCGCCTACGTTCAGGGCGCTCTTCGTCAGCTAGCTCAACCCGTACCATGTGTACACTTTATAGTTGCTCCTAGAATGAAGCGACACTACCCCTAATCTGGCTGATAAACGGGGCGATCGTCCAAAGCCTTCCATACTCTCGAGCTTCTCTCCTTCAGCGCGCACAGATGGTCGAGCTCCCTCTCGCCTACGCACACCTCCTTGCCTACCCATCTAGCCAGATGAACCAATCAGCGTCGAGCAGTTGACTCCTCCTCTCCCACCAGTCAGCCAATCAGTGTCAAACTGGAGCCTCGCGGCCACGCTTTTATCTGGGCTTCACGAAATACCGAACACGTAGCCAAATAACTTTCCTCGTTAAAAATGAATTTAGGTGGTGCGAAACGCGTGCTGCAGAAGGTACGCGCTCAGCAACATGGTCGTTGATGTATCGTCATGAGAGCTGTATTGAGGGGCTGCACGGGCTATGCAAAGCAACTGCTAACATGTGGTCTTTGACATGCATAACCGAATAGTGGAGCACAATATTATATCTGGGGCATGTATGTTGTGGGAAAGCTACCACATATCCAAGTAGAGACACGTATGGATACATACGGCTGGACCCCTTAAATCGGGCGACGGCTTGCGGCACCTAGATAGTGTTTGTGATATCAACAGTTAACCTTCACTTCATATACAAAACATTAGGGTTAACATTTTAATGGAAATACAGCTAGAAGTTACGACTCATGTGACGAAAGCGCCTTTCCGCAGCCGAATACGCGCAGTATGTAATCGACGAAAAGCCTTTGGTGTAGGGCAGAGGAAATAAGAAAAAAAAAACATTCGATTAAAGAACAATTGATTCAATTTGTTATATGAGTGAGGGCGAAGTGATTAAAATAGTAGAGAACCTGCAGACAAATGATGCGAGGGTCTGTATAAAAAAAATGGGACCCCGAATCTATGCAGTAAATCTAGCAATATTACCGTTATATGACTGTCTGTTCTCTAGTTCCGACAGAAGTGAAGGGGCTTAGAAGATTCGTTGCTCGATCAATATAAAAAGTAGTTATTGGGCCGAACTTTTGTCGAATCAAAAATTTGACCCTGAATCTTGGGATTTCGCAAAGGCAAAGTTTTGCCCAATTTTTCTGAAGATCCGGCAAAGATTCGGCAAAAATACATTGCTGCCGGACTTAAAAGTTGATATATCATTTTTTATGCGAACGAAAAAAATTTTGAGATTTATTTCTAAATGCATACTGACACCAGTTATTACTAAATCCGTACTGAAAAAAAAAATATATGAATTTATTTCTGATGTGTTTATTGGACACCTTTTTCATATCAGAACTTATTGGGTATTTCATATCAGTTTCATATGTCGCATATAAGTTTCAGCTAGGGTAGGCGGCGCTAGGTACCGCCCGATTCCATATGCTACAAAAATATTTTTATTTGCTCACGCCACCATCACTTCGGGCAACTTTATTATACACACATGTAAATACAGTAAGCATACCACCAGCATCAGCTGAACATATTCATTGAGCATATACATATACACGGCACAACAAACTTGAATACAACAGCACACCCGATAACTACTTCCGAGCTTTGCGTTTCCGCATTTTATACTGGTCATTTTGAAGGTACGGATTGTTTCGGTGACCACCTAAGCAATAAATATTATTCCCAGCATGTTGAGCTGTTTTCAGTAATGTCATAGCCCTGAGAGTATTTTGAACGGCTCAGGAGATGAATCTCGTAGTAAATATTAAACGCTGATGCCGTAATTATTTCAAAAGCCAATAAAACAAGCCGCGCCACTGCGGTTCCAAGTCACGTGTTTGCTTCCCCGCGCGGCGCGTCCTATACTGAAAATGATTCTATGAATATTTTTCCGATATGTTTATTGGACACGTTTTCACATGAGAACTTATATAAGCATATCAGTTCTAATATCAGTTTTGGGGTATTTCATATCAGTTTTCTATGTCGTATATCAGTTTTTGGATATTTCACATCAGTTTCATATGTCGCATATCAGTTTTTAGATATTTCATATCAGTTCTTAGACAGATTCATATAACTTATTCAGTAGGGATAAGGTGGTGTTCTACAACATGATATTGTTGGTGACATTTTTGTATGTCTACTGGTCATTTTACAGTCATGTTTTGCAGAAGTGGTGTGAAGACGAGTTTGGGTAGTAGCGTAGCGAGTGCAGTCACACTACGCGAGTTTCGGTTCTGAGGCCTCATCAACGCAAGCCTGCAAGTGTGTACATTGTTAAACTAAAAGCAGTGACACCGTGCTCTTACTTCCTCTGCAAGCCACCGTTTGGGGCACGAAAATGTAGGCCACGGCTGCTGAGCCTTCACCAGAAAAGATAACAATAATATTGTACATAGGCATGTTTCTCGATTTGAATTACTTGACGCCAGCTTTGCATGAAAGTGTGCGTCCCATATTCGAAACGCTCAGTTTTTAACTTATGCCGGTTTATGATCTTAGGACACTCACGGACGTTTAGAAAGATGGGAAGAGTTATAGGAATGTCGGATGTGCAACGTCGAGCATGATAGTTCTGTGTTTGGTTTTCTGCGGATAGATGAAAACCGCTAAAAAATGCGAATTAAAACGCAATATAAATTTGTTTTGGCCCGAACTACTCGTGACCCGAAAACA